TATTATTATTATTTTTTTTTTTAATAATAAGTTAGTCAAAAAATTTAATTAATATTGACAAAGTCTACGATTATAACTTAATTTAATTTTAATAACAAAACAATTTTTTTTTTTGTTTCAACAACCGTTATAAATTTTACATCATCGTTTTAATTAATTTTTTTTTTTTTTTTTTTTTATTAATCGATTAATCACAAGTTATGACATGAATACGATGAAAAATTTAACCTTACTTATTGTTTACATATTTGACCTAATGTGGGAAACGTCAAATTTTTCTTTTTTTTTTTTTGTTATAATTACAATAATGTAATAATAATTTAAACTAATTTAAAAACGCACTAAATCACCCTCACGCATATTAATACGCATTTTTTTCACGCTTATTAAATAAAACATAAATCAACATTGCGTAGTTTGAAATATTATTTAAATTAAAATTTTTTAATAATATTTTTTTTTTTTACAATGATATATATCAAAAAACGACAGTGATTGTAAAAAAAAAATTTTTTTTTTCATTTACCAACTTTTGTAAGTAAACAATAATAGAGAGAGAAAAAAATATGAATAAAAAAAACGAAATTAAAAAAGAAATATTACAAATTGAATTATTATTATTATTATTATTTTATGTATTGGAAAAAACTTTTGACCTATTTAAAATAAAATTTATAATTTAAATAATAAGTTCAGTTTAAGCAATTCAGTTTTCCGTTTTCAGTCATCAAACATTTAAATCCAAAATTTTAAATCTAATCCATTTTGAATAATATAATTTTTTCTATTTACTTTTTACTGTGAAAATTTTAATATTTTTCTAGTCAAATATCGATATATGACATATATATATATTTATAAATAAATATGTGTGTGTGTGTGGTTGTCGTACATAAAATATTGCTTTTAGTTAACAATAAAATCAAAGTATAAATACAAATACTACAATGAAAAAATGAATGAAAAGAAAAAAAATTTTTTTTTTTATGCCTTTTTTTGAAGTTTCGAAAAAGAAATGATGCGAAGTTATTAATTTAGTAAATTTCTTACCGGAAACGATCGAACAATCGACTATTGATCGAAAAAATAATTATATTTATTAATTGTAAACAATTTAATAGAATAAAAAAAAAAATTTTTTCAACATTGAAATTTTATTAACGAAAGTTCTAGAAGGAGAGTGTCAAAAACTCCTTTCGCTAGGGAATAAATCTTTTAAACAAATATTTTGATAGGACTAATTTTATTAAACTTATTATAATTAACTAAGATAAAAATTTGTTAATATAAATAAATATAAATACTACACGTGGTAATTTTAATCGAAATCTACTTTGATTGTAATTATTATTATTATTTTTCTTTTGAAATAAAAAAAAAAATTTTTTAACATGAGAATTTTATGCAACCCTCTGACATGAAAATGAATGATAACATTCATAAAATTAAAAAAATATTTTTTTTACAAAAGGCACCGTCATTGATTAATTTTTTTTTTTGCTTTTTATTGTAATAAAAAGTTTTTTTTTTTTTTTTTAAATGAAGTTTCTCCATTGAAATTAAAAATTATTCAACTCAAAGTCAATTATAATAAAAAGTTTAAGTTGATTTTTTTTTTTGTTTATTTGTTTGTTTGTTAGTAAAGATAAAAAAAGAAAAAAAAATCATTTTTCATGAATTTTTTAGAATAATAATAAATTTATCAAATGTTTGAAACCAAAAAGCATTATGTTAAAATTTATCTTTGGTAAAAACAAAAAACAAAAATTTTATTTAGATAATTTTTTTTGTTTTTACCCTTCTTTTTTTTTAATTAATTTTTATTTTTACATTTTTATTGTAATTTAATCATTTTGTGAAATAAAAAATAAAAAAAACTGTTTTAAATTTGTACTGAAGAATCAATAACAAAGTAATAAATAAATAAAATTCTCACATTGCAAATTAATAACTAGTTAATATTTGTTTAAATTATAATAAAAAGATTTTCATACATTTATTTAATAAATCTTCATCTGTGATAGAATTTCTATATAACTTAGTTAATTAGAATTTTCCTTTATTGTTTATCGTCACGTTTATTTTTTATATTTGTAAAGTTTTATTAAAAATAATACATGATTAAAATCGACAATATAAATTTCATTGTTTTGTTGTGGCATACAAAGTGAAATATAATAATAATAATTTTTTTTTTTTTAATTAAACGTGAAACCAAAAAAAAATAAGCGTGAATGATAGTTTTTAGTAGTTGCCAGAAATGTTAAATCAAAAAGCCATTGTAACATTTACTAAATAATTAATGGCACTTTTAACCTTTTCTAATGATAAAGTCAAAATAATTTTCTAACGTTAACACCCTTCTACAGCATTATTAAGAAAAAAATATGTCACCTTTTATATATAAAATTATACCTCATTTACACTTTTACAATGAATAAAAAAAAATTACCCATAAAACACATTGATTTAAATAAAATAATTTATTTTAAATAAAATAAACGCCTTACCTACAAAAAACACTAAGAAATGTAATTAATTTATGTGTTTCACAGTTATATATAAACTAGTAATAATAATAATAATTATATTTTAAAATTTGTTTAAATGCTTTAAGCTAATTGAAAAGTTTTATTTTTTTAAATCAAAATAATTAATATCAGTTGAATAATTGAATTTTTAATTACAGAAATAAAAAATTTTTTTTTTTTTTTTATTATAAAATTTTTAATTAAAATGCTTTTTGAATTGAATTGAATTACATAAATTTTATGTTTGACAGTTTCATTTCTATAATTCTTATTAGAATTTTATCAATTAACGTTAAAATTAAGAAAATAATGTCAACTGCATCATTTTTTTGATTAGGTAAAAATAAATATATGGTTGTTATAGACAAAATTAAGAAATAATATATCTACAAATTTTGTATAATGAAATGCCAGTTAAAAAAAGAAATCCAAAATGGCGACAATCAGATCAAATTAATGTGCTTTTTTTTTTTTTTTTTTTTTATAATGTCTCGGATTTATATAAGAAAAGAAAAAACTTTCTAAATGACAATAAACAAGTTGTTTCCTTTTTATTTTGTCAAAAGTTAAATTAAAATTTCAATACCTCAAATTAAAGCTATTAAACTTATAACTGCCATATAATTACATGGCTTCAAAAAAAAAAAATTTTCTATAAAAACTTTTAATTACAGTATTAGCAATAACTATCATTAAATCAAAAACTTACTTTAATTTACGGTTTTCACTGATTTCGAAGTAATCAAAAAAATTATTTTTAAACTACAAAAAAATAAAACTCAAAACTATTTTAATTATTTTCATAATTTACTATTATAATAATCACACCAACTTTGGTAAAAATTTCAAACATGAGTAGAAACTTCTAGAACATTCACAGAGAAAAAAGAACGAATACGTTTATGAATATTACAACCAATCAAATCGTCGAAAAATCAAGGTGAAAAAAAAGTGAGTACGTTCACGAATTTCACAGCCAATCAAATCAACGAAACGTCAAATTACGCAACAATTAACTTTTTAAGTGTCAACACTAATTGAAGGGGTTGACCATAAAATTTTTGCGCGCGTCAATCAGCAACTTAAATTTTAATAAACTTATTAATTGTTCAGTTTCCTTTTTGAAAATTGAAGTATTTCGTTTAGTTCTAAGTAATAATTTATTTCGAAACATGTCGTTCAAACGTGATAAATTTTAATTATTTAAAGTTAATCTCTTTAAAATAATGAATTACTTAATTTTCGAGTAGTAAAAAATAAACTAAAATTTGCGCTTTAAGATTTCATTTACTTTTTTTTATCTTATTGTGAAAATTAAATTTGATAGTCCAACAAAAAAAATTTTTTTTTTTTATAACCGTTTCACTTTAATTTGTTTTATGAAAAAAAGGTTTTATAATAAGTTAAATGTTATTTTAAAAAGTGTATAATTCTCTTTTCGGAAAGTAAGTGATAAAAAATGTTGAGTTTCATCTTGTTTTTTTTAATTAATGCTGTCGAATGAAAAAAAAAAAAAAAAAAAATTTTTGCTTAAAGAAAATCCGACTCTTTCTTTCAACTGCTCGCCGCCATTTTGAAATAATAGTCCAAAAAAAAAAAAGATTTTTTTTTTATAACCGTTTTACTCTAATTCGTTTTTTGAAAAATGGGTTTTATAATAAGTTAAATGTTATTTTAAAAAGTGTATAATTCTTTTTTCGGAACGTAAGTGATAAAAAATGTCGAGTTTCATCTTGTTTTTTTTAATTAATGCTGTCGAATGAAAAAAAAAAAAAAAAAATTTTTGCTTAAAGAAAATCCGACTCTTTCTTTCAACTGCTCGCCGCCATTTTGAAATATAATTCAAAAAATTATTTTTAGATCTTTTGCATTGACGTAAACTTTTTTTTTTTTAATGTCAGCGAAAAACAATTATTAAAGCGATAAGGAAAAACAAAAATTAACGTAAAATTTGATAATTCAAAAGAGTCAGATTATAAATTTTTAAATATATCTCTTTTTTTTTATGATGATAAAATTACTCGTGAGTTTTTTGTATTCAATTAATGCATTTTTTCTAAAAAAATTTTTCGTGTCAAAATTTCAAATTTTAATATCAACGTTACTTATTTAATTTAATTAAACAAAAAAAACAAAACCCTCGTAAATTTTATTTTCAAAATGTTATTAATAAAAAAAAAAAAAGCAATTTTTCAAAAAAAATTTTTTTTTTTTTTTTCAAATTCGTTAAATTAAATTTCGAAAGCGTTACGTGAAAAAGTGTTCGTTACGCGTTACGCGAAAAAGTGTTCGTTACGCGTTACGCGTTACGCGTTAATTTGAAAAATAACGGTCTGAGAGGTATAAATTTATAAAATTTCATAAATAATAAAAATTATAAAAGAAAACAAAGTAATAATAATAATAAAATAAATTTATTTACAGACACCAAAGTTACCAAATTCACCTTCACCTCAAAAAGGGCGTAAAATGACAATAATAGAAAAAGGGCCTTCAAAGGTTCAAAGTCCATCTTCGAATGAATCCCGATCGGGATTCATTAAATCAGAATTGAGAAGGGAGTTAAGATCTCCAGACATGAAGGAAAAATCCAGCAGAAGAGATGGTGATCTCATTAGTACGGCTACTAGTGCTTTAAGGCGGTTACATTTTAGAAGTGCTGGAGGAAGCAGGCCTAAAAGAGGTTCGTTTGTTCATTTTTTTTTTTTTTTTCTAATTATTTTAGGTATTCACTTATTCATTTTGAAAGTGTTTATTTATTGTATCAATCGTTTTCATCATAGAGTATATAAACAAAAAAAGGAATTGAAAATTATTCGGGTGCAAAATATTTTGTAAAATATAACGAATCAATCATTGGTAAATAATAATAATAATAATATATTTTTAATTAACAAAAACTATTTTTCTAAATGAGTCGAGTAAGAGAACAAACAAAATTTGCATTGTTTTTTTATTTATTTAAAGGATTTTAAATAATTTTTTTCAAATGAATGAATAAATAAGGATATTTATCCGCGATAAGAGATAATAAAATTTTTCAAAAAAACCATAGAA